TTGTGGCGACCCAGTTGGCTGTGCATTTATTGAATTTAAAAAGTAAAATTCAATTTCAAATATTTTTAAGTTTTTGTTTTGATTGATGAGAACGTTTCGATTTTTCTCTCTGTAAAAAGTTGAATAAAAGTTTATTAACATTGAAAATTTTTAGAGTTTTATTAATTAGCAAGGTGAACAGATCATTGCTAAATTGGTGACCCCGACGTGATCTCGAAAAAGTTTAAATTTAGAAATATTAACTTCTGAGCTGAATATCTAATTATCGAGCTGTGATGTCAGTTGCAGACGAAGGTGTAGTAATGGCTTCTGATAGTGGAAGTGTCGTAAACCGTGTAGCAGTGAAGGTGCCACCGTTTTGGCACGAGCGACCGGAGATTTGGTTTGCTCAGATCGAGGCGCAATTTGCAGTAGCTGCCATTACGAGTGACATCACACAGTTCAACACGGTAGTAGCAGCGATTGAGTCAAGTGTTATCGCCGATGTAAGTGATGCAGTGCTTCATCCTCCTGAAACTGGAAGTTACGCTAATTTAAAGGCTTGCATCATAGAGCGGTACAGTGAGAGCGAGCAGCGGAAGATTCAACGGTTGTTGTCAGAAGTTGAACTTGGTGATAGACGCCCAACACAGTTGCTAACGGAGTTGACAGCGTTAGCTAAAGACAAGGTGAGCGATGAGTTCCTTAAGTCTCTTTGGCTGAAGCGTTTGCCACCACAAGTGCGCGCTATTCTGCAGGCATCGAATGTGGCACTAGCAGAACTGGCGAAATTAGCAGACCGTATTTGCGAGGCGGGTGATTTTCAACAGATAGCTGTAGCGTCAGCCTCTGATTGTCCAGCCTATTCTGAGAATGCTGTGATTTTACGAAGGCTTGAGCAAATCGAACAGCGTCTGAGTCGTTTGGATTTACGTCGTAGTGAGTCGGTGCAAAGTCGATCGTCATCGAGGAGGCGTAGGCGAACTCGTTCCCGACCAGGAAGTCATCCAGATTGGTGCTGGTATCACGAAAGGTTTGGTGATAGAGCTAATGCTTGTCGGCAGCCCTGTAGTTTTGTGACAAGCTCTCATCAGTCAAAAAACTAGGCACTCCTTCTACGTCGTCGAGCCGAGAAGGGGTTAGTGTTCGTATAGCTCGACTTAGTATTAAAGATCCCGCCACGTCGACCGTTTTCCTCATTGATACTGGTGCGGACATATCAGTTTTACCGAAGTCGTTCTGTCGTTGGAAGCAAAGGGCTAACAGTGTTGCATCAGTTAATTTATATGCTGCTAATGGTACGCCTATTCAAACATTTGGCGAGCGTCGACTGCTTTTGTCTTTGGGTTTGCGTAGAGATTTCCCGTGGACGTTCGTGATTGCGGATGTTAGCTGTCCTATTGTTGGAGCCGACTTCCTTAATCACTATGACTTGTTAGTGGATTTGAAAAGGAAGCGGTTAGTTGATTCGAAGACGACTTTGATGATGAAGGGTAAGGCTGCTGTGTCTCAAGAAGATACTGTGCGTGTGTGTGGTTCAGTTTCAGCTTATGCTGAGCTGGTTAATGAATACCGTGATTTAGGCGTTATGAGTGCAAATCGGATGGGTTTAGTTACTAAGGTTGAACATTGCATCGAGACATTTGGTGCGCCGTCATTTGCTCGTCCCCGACGTTTAGTTGGAGCCAAACTTGAAGAAGCCAAGAAGGAATTCCAATTTTTAGTCCAGACAGGGATTTGTCAACCTTCGAAAAGCTGTTGGGCAAGTCCACTTCACATGGTTCGCAAAGGAGATGGAAGTTGGAGACCGTGTGGCGATTATCGCATGCTCAACGCGCAAACTAAACCTGATCGGTATCCGATTCCGTTCATTCATGATGTGACGAGTATTCTTCATGGTAAAACTATGTTTTCGAAGATAGATTTGCAGAAAGCGTATCATCAGATACCGCTTGCACTGGCAGACATTCCGAAGACAGCTATTACAACTCCGTTTGGCCTGTTCGAGTTTCGCTTTATGACTTTCGGTCTCCGTAATGCTGCCCAGACGTTTCAGCGTTTTATGAATGAGACTCTAGGTGATCTTAATTTCGTTTTTGCGTACATCGACGATATTTTAATTGCGTCAAAAGATGAAGCAGAACACAGAATGCATTTGCGACTGGTTTTAGATCGACTTAGAGAAACTGGTTTGACCGTGAATTTTGCCAAGTGTAAGTTCGGCTGTTCCGAGATCGAGTTCCTTGGGCACGTTATTAGTGCAAAGGGTTTACGTCCTCCGGAGAGTAAAGTTCAAGCTGTTCGTGATTTTCCTCTGCCAGCAACGGTGAAACAGCTTAGACAATTCTTAGGCATGGTGAACTTTTATCGGCCGTTTCTGCGTAACGCTGTGCAGAATCAGCAGCGGTTGTTTCATCTTACACCAGGTAACCGCAAGAATGATAAGTCGGTGATTTCTTGGACTCCAGAAGATATAGAGGTTTTTGAGGCTTGCAAGAAGGATCTTGCCCAAGCTACGTTGCTTAACTTCATGGCTCTGGATGCACAATTGACGCTCACGACTGATGCTTCAGACGTTGCGGTGGGTGCTGTTCTCCAACAAGTAGTGAAAGGTGTGACTCAGCCATTGGCATTTTATTCAAAAGGTTTGAGTCCAGCGCAGACTAAGTATAGTGCTTATGATCGTGAGTTGACTGCTATCTATCAAGCTGTCCAGCATTTTAAGTATGCATTAGAGGGACGTGATTTCGTCATTTTTACGGATCACAAACCATTAACGTTTGCGTTCAGGCAAATAAGTGAGAAGGCATCTCCTCGTCGTGCAAGACAGCTGGAGTTTATTAGTCAGTATTGCACTGATATTCGTCATCTGGCTGGTGCAGATAATACGGTGGCTGACTCTTTGTCTCGGGTTGCTACGGTTCAGTTGGAGGCAAATGTTATTGAGTTAATTGCTGAGGGGCAGAAGACTGATGCAGAGTTGCTTGCTCAGCTGAAGAGCCAGTCTGAAGATGGTGTTGGGTTGAAGAAGTTGAGATTGCCGGATTCGAGTATTGAACTGTACTGTGATGTGTCAGGCAGTCGTGTTCGTCCTTTTGTTCCCGCAAACTGTCGGCAGCTGGTACTCTCAAAACTCCATGGTTTGGCTCATCCTGGTATTCGAGCAACGCGGAAATTGGTGCAGGCTAGGTACGTTTGGCTTGGTTTGGTTAAGGATGTAGCTGTGTTTGTGCGTAGTTGCATTGCGTGTCAGAAGTCCAAGATTCAGCGGCATACTAAAACACCAATTGGTTCGTTTGCTGATATTGATAGTCGGTTCCAGCATGTTCATGTTGACATTGTGGGTCCATTGCCTTTGTCTCAGGGGAAGCGTTATTGTTTGACTTGCGTCGATCGTTTTTCTCGGTGGCCTGTTGCTGTGCCTCTTTCGGGCATTACGGCAGAAGAAGTTGCAGCGGCTTTTATCGACGGTTGGGTGGCAAGTTTTGGTTCTCCGCAGGCTATTACCACTGATTTGGGTCGGCAGTTTGAGTCTGCTGTATTTCGGGAACTGACGAGATTGCTTGGAGTGAAACACTTTCATACCACGGCTTATCATCCTCAAGCAAATGGCATGGTTGAACGTTTCCATAGAACATTGAAGGCAGCCATTCGATGTCATTCCTCAAGTAATTGGACGCAGTCTCTTTCGCTTGTGTTGTTGGGATTGCGAACGACACCGAAACTAGACCTAAATGCTAGTCCTTCAGAGATGTTGTTTGGAAATCCTCTTTGTGTTCCAGGGCAGATGCTTTCGGATTTCAAGCAGAAGTCGTCCGAGACTGATTTTGTGTCGGCGTTGCGAAGGGCTTTAGCTAAGGTTAAATCCGTTGAATCAACAAGACATTGTCATCCATCTGTGTATGTTCCGCGTGACATTATTAATTGTAAGCACGTTTTTCTTCGAGTGGATCGTGCTCGAGCTCCACTTGAGCAGCCTTACGAAGGTCCATTTGAGGTGCTGAGTCGTAGTGAGAAGACGTCTGTTATTGTTTGCCGTGGGAGAGAGGTGACTGTTTCGAATGATAGGTTGAAGGCGGCGTACTTAACGTGTGATGATCTTGAACAGGTTGTTCCAGAAACGCGTCAGCCTTCAGCGCTGTTGAATGGTGATCAGTTAGTGACTTCTGGTGATTGTAGGCGTGAATCCCTGTTGCCGATTCCGAAAGTGACACGAGCTGGTAGAGTAGTGCGTTTCCCAGCAAGGTTAGCGGAATTTTGTGATTAAGAGTGGTGTTGTCGACTTAGTTGTGGTGTCGCGTTGTTGCTAGTACTCCATCGCTAGGAGGGGGTACTGTGGCGACCCAGTTGGCTGTGCATTTATTGAATTTAAAAAGTAAAATTCAATTTCAAATATTTTTAAGTTTTTGTTTTGATTGATGAGAACGTTTCGATTTTTCTCTCTGTAAAAAGTTGAATAAAAGTTTATTAACATTGAAAATTTTTAGAGTTTTATTAATTAGCAAGGTGAACAGATCATTGCTAAATATATATATAAATTAATAATTAATAATTAATATCATATATATCATATATATCATATACATATATCATAAATTTAATAATTAAAAAAAACATAAATTTAGGCATAATCTATTTACAGATAAAATAATATTAATTGCATACAAATTGTACGCACACACATTACTTACAATTTTGCACAACTATATTCAATGCACCAACAAAGAAATAATGCGTACACATTCCCTTAAAACAAAAACAAAAAGAAGAAATCCATATACATTTGCTAATAGCAAAACACAAGCAGCTAACGCATAAGCAAGCAAGTTGCATATATTCCAAATGCATAATAGTCAAAAATGTAAAATTGACTATTAGCAAGCAATCAAAATGAAACCAGTTTACGTTTTTTGCTGTTGCTAATGCATATTTTTATTTCATTTTCATATGCAATGCGTTAGCAATTAGTCGTTTGACAATAATCGACTGGTTAATATTTATGCATTAGTCAAAATATGGTTGCTTTTGCTAATTTTCAGCAAGCAATTCAAACCCTGGTTTTAAAGTTTAATAAGTATCTATTGTTAATTATATTTAAATGTCGAAGCACATTTTAGGCTAAAATATGCGCTAATTTAAAATACAGGGTGCCTTTTTTAACATTAAGTGTTTTTTGACTTAAAATGCTATATATTTTGATTATTACTAAAAATGCATATTTTCCTTTTATATGATTTTTTCTTATTTTTTGGATTTAGGACCTATTTTCTGTAATTATGCCTAATAAGTCGCCAAAACCCTGTATATGTATTATGACATGCACATGAGTAATTCTGTTTAATGATTTATATCTTAAAAAGAAACAAGGTAGTTGCGAAATCCTTAGTAGTCATAATATTATTTCGTTTGCACATTTAAAGTCAACGATCTGCGATCAATGATTAACCTTTTAATGGCAATGGGGGAAATTTCGTAAGTATTGTCAATTTATTTTATAAACAATATCATTGGCCGTTGTAAGTGCGGCTTTTGGATTATTTTTGGCGCAGCCGTTGGTGTCATTGAAATAGCAACAGGCGAAATATACTATATAAGAAAATGCTTTTGGAATTTTTTATGTGGTGGCCATGTCAGTGCCTTACACATAAAACCGTTGTACGTGAGCGGTATTTATTTTTTACAACAAAAAAAAAATGAAAATAAAAACAAAAGAAAAAGTTAATAAAATAAAAATTTATAAAAGTTTATATATATTTATTATTTTATCATATTTAAATAAATTTTTTATCATTTACAGACGTTGCCATTGATGACACCTTCGTTATGTTGGCCGCTTGGCGTCGCACACCAGCGAAGATGCCGGTCGCTGAGCGCATGGGCCATATGATGTCTGAAGCTGCTGTTTCCATAACAATCACATCATTAACCGATATGATTTCCTTCTCTATTGGCATCATAAGTCCATTCCGTTCCGTGCAGATTTTCTGTACATACTGTGGCTTTGCTGTCTGCTTCACTTTCCTATGGCATTGTACTTTCTTCGCTGCTTGCATGGCCATTTCTGGCTACCGCGAACACAGAAATTTACATGCAATCTTCGGTTGCAAGGTCCAAGCGTTATCTGTCGCTATAAAAGGTAAGCAAAAATCGTTTATTATAATTTTTTATACTCAACTTTGTATGGTAAATCGATATTGTCATTGTTGCTTATTGAAAACATTTCTTGGTTAACAAACAAAAAATAGTTAAAAAACTCCTACTAGCAACTTTCACAATCATTTTTTTTAGGTTTTTATATAAAGCTGTTTCTGAGCTAATCATTTCTGTAGTCAGTTTTGTTTGTCATTAATTTTTATTGTTTGGCTGTCATTTGGGATGTTTAGATAATATAAGCACTGCCTAATATACATAAGCAACATTATTAAATGTGATCGTTAATGCTTAAGTATTTGCGGATAAACCTTTAATTTTCATACCAACACATTATTGCTTAATTAAATTTGATGTTTAGTTTTTATTTTCTAGTACTTTCCACTTCGACAAAGTAAATGGAAAAGTTTGTCTATCAATACTTTGCTTCCGCTTTTTTAATTGCCGTTAGAGTAATTCACTTTCAGTAAATTTCTGAAGTGACATCACAACAATTGTAATGAGTACCTTAAAAAATTAAGTTGTGATGACACAAACTTAATAGACACATTTAAATCAATGACTTTTCTTGATTACATCCACCATTACTTTTTAGAGATACTCAAGCCGTGTATAGTACGGGTTAATATTTATGACTAAATTTAAGTTAACAGACAACTTTTAGATCACTCTCAAGGCAGTTTTCAGGAGTTGAGTCCCTTTATGAACTATACGCCCAAAAGTATACTTGTATAGATAGATCAGTTTATAATGTTGTTTTCGATTAGTAAATCTAGGGTAACTTTTGCAATCGAGATTCACTTTTAATGTAATCTTCATTTTCGATTGATAAATCCCGAAAGAAATGTATAACACTCAAGATTAAATAATAACACTCTAGAGATTTTGCCAGAGCAGCAAGATTACCCTGATATTAACAGCTGTTTCATATGACACTTCATTAATTAATGAAGTGGATTTGCTTCGACATATGTATTTAAGAAAAATTATTATTTATGAAAACCTACTAACTCAACTACAAAAGAATTATATTACTCCAAAAATGTTCGATTGCGCATCAAATTTGAGAGATCAAGAGTAAATCAAGGTTGAATCCAGATTTACCAATCGAAAATAGCATTAGTATAATTGCAATAAATTTTCAAGACAGATATGGAGCACAGTCTTAGCAATAAAAAAACGATCAGTTAAAACTCTTCGTAGATGAAATAAACTTCTACTTCTTAACAATTTTACAAAAATAACACATCGGCTATTAAGTCCGTAGGATGACCAATATAACAACAAATGTTGGGAAAATTCGAATTATGTGAACAGGTAGTCTCTTTCCAGATTCTTATTTAACCGTAAAATATACCTCAGTTCCGGACATGAGTTTTTCATTTAAGCCAAATCTTTTTTTCCTTTTCAAATCTATTTTTAATCAGTTTTTTGGGTTAGTAATGATTAGCAAGCTAAACTGTTTTTAATATAATCACTACTTTTTTGTTATGATAGTATTAAAACCCTATGAGGTAGGGTTTTCTGTGAATTGTGAGATTTTGTAAACTTGTAAAGTTGTTTTAATCCACTTTAAACATTGTATTTAAAGCTAATCATAGTTTTAGCACTTTTAGTTAAAAGTATCTTGACTTAGCAGTAATTGAGTGTTATTTGTCTTCAATAAAATTTTAATTTGAAAACAACTTCTAAATTGTAATCATTACGATTAATGCAACGAGTTACAAATCGAAAAAACCGGTCACCACTCCAACTTGACACGCAGCACGGCTGTATTTGTTTTAATGACATTGATTGAAACTATTAACTAAGAAAACCAGTGGAAAACTGCAAGAACGGAATAGAATATTTATGTGGGTCAGTGTCGCAAACAAGTTGGAGCTACTTGACAAGAATACATAAATCACACAACTTTAAGTTTAGTTTAACGATACATGAACGCATATCAACTTTTTCTTTGTTTTTTTAGAAAAACGCAATTTTCTGTACAAAGCCATAATGGCTGGTGGCATTAATCATGATGATCCAGACAATCCAATCGATAACAAGGATCACATGTTCATGGCTTTCTTCAAAGACAATCTTGCTTCAGTCATCAACAACAAATGGTGCAAAATGCTGATAATACTTATATTTGCGGCATACTTAGGCGGTGCTTGCTATGGGATTACACAAATCAAAGAAGGTTTGGAGCGCAGAAAACTATCATCTGCAGATTCATATTCTGTAGAGTTTTTTGACCGAGAGGATGATTACTATCGCGAATTTCCCTATAGAATGCAAGTGAGTATTTTTAACAAATTTTTGTTTTTTAAACAATTTAATAAAAATTTTTCAATTTATTATCATAGGTTATAATTACTGGTGACTTGAATTACTCCGATCCAATGGTACAATATCAAATTGAGGAATTAACACGAAACTTGGAAAACACCTCATATGTTTTTTCTTCACTCTACACTGAATCCTGGATACGTTCATTTTTATCTTTTGTGGATCGCAATAATGACTATCTCAACTTAACCATAGAGAGCGAACAAGATTTTATAGATGCCGTCAAAGAGCATTGGCTGTTTCCTGGTAATCCATTTTCGTTAGATGTTAAATTTAATGAAAATGACACACGCATCATAGCATCCCGTTTTCTTATACAAGCAGTCAACATAACCGACACAAATCATGAAAAAGAAATGGTACGCGATTTGCGTAAGATATGCAAGGACTCACCGCTTAACGCATCTATTTTCCATCCTTACTTCGTTTTCTTCGATCAATTCGAACTAGTGCGACCAACCTCACTACAAGCAATGATTATAGGTGCAATTATAATGATGATTATATCATATATATTTATACCAAACATTCTGTGCTCACTTTGGGTGGCCTTTTCTGTTATATCCATTGAATTGGGTGTAGCTGGTTATATGGCACTATGGGATGTCAATCTAGACTCCATCTCAATGATTA